TACATTATGGAAAATAATGACCTTTATCACAATATGCTAATTTTTTTTAGAAGGACCTGTAGATGTCTGTGATGGTGGGGAGACTTGACTCCAACATCTTCTGTGCAGCCTTCACCACTCTCTGCAAAGCTTTTCTTTCTGCAGCTGTGCAGCCTCCATGCCACACGTTGATGCTGGAGCACAGGATGCTCTCCACTGCACACCTGTAGAAGGAGGTGAGGACTGAGCTTCCCAGACCAGCTCGTCTCATCCGCCTGAGGAAGTAGTCTCTGATGAGCTTTCTTCATCAGGCTGCTGGTGTTGGTGCCAATTTAAAGCCAATTAGTACATTTCTCTATCCGAGGAAGCAGCAGACACGTTGAACCCTCACTTCATCACAGTCTCCCATCTTGAGCAAGCACAAAGGAGACAGTGGAAAGGAAAAACTCCCTTTAACAGGAAGAAACCTCCAGTAGAACCAGGCTTAGGACAAGCGGCCATCTGATCTGCTTAGACCGGCTGGGTTTGAGAGGACAGGAAGGAGAAACAAACAAACACAGAATGACAGGTCCAGAATGGAGGAGAGCAGGTCCTCTCTAAAAGATAAAGAATGAAAAGAAAGACAACCCCCCCCCCCCCCACATTTTAAGATAGAAACATTTACAAATTATTAATTTAATGAAATGTGGTCAGTTTGTCCTCCAGCAGTCTAAGCCTATAGCAGCAGAACTAAGGGATAGCTCAGGAAACCAAAGCCAACCTTAACTATAGGATTTATCAAAAAAGAAAATCTTAAGTCCAGTGTTAAAACTGGACAATGTGTCAGCCCCACAGACAGAAACTGGAAGTTGGTTCCACAAGAGAGGAGCCTGATAACTGAAAAATCTTCCTCCCATTCTGTTTTTGGAAACTCTAGTGACCACAAGTAAACCTGCAGTCTGAGAGCGAAGTGCTCTGTTAGGAAAATATGGAACAATCCATCCATCCATTATCTTTTACCCGCTTATTCCATTTTGGGTCACGGGGGTCACCGGTGCCCATGTCCAGCAATCACTGCGAGGGGTGGGTTCACCCTGGACGGGTCGCAAGTCCATCACAGGGACACATAGAGACAAACGAGACAAACGAGACAAACAACCTCTCACTCACACCTAGGGACAATTTAGAGTTACCAGTCAGTCTAACATGCATGTTTTTGGTCTGTGGGAGGAAACTGGAGTACCCGGAGAAAACCCACGCATGCACGGAGAGAACATGCAAACTCCATCCAGAAAGGCCCCTGGACCGGGGTTTGAACCAAGGACCTGCTCGCTGAGAGGCAGCAGCTCTACCAGTTGCGCCACCGTGCTGCCCATATGGAACAATAAGATCTGTAATATAAGATGGAGCTAGGATGTTGAGAGCTTTGTAGGTTAGAAGTAAGATTTTGAATTCAATTCTGAATTGTACATGCCATCAATCATTGATTTCTAAGCTGAGACGACTCTGTTCTCAGGTGTCTGAAGCCCACGTTCAGTGTGGTACACACCATGATACCAAACAGCACAGTGACTACTTTTCACCATTGAAACAACCGAACTGACTGATTACAGTACTTAAGTCTGTTCCTGTGGTCAGATTAGTTTAAGATCAGTTGTGTTCTTTTAATAATTGTGTTGAAATCAAAATTCAAAAGCAGTGACTGATTTTTATTAGGTAATTTTTTTGTGTTTTTTTTACATTGTTATTTTTGTTAGTTTCAAGTTATTGCCTGCGACTTTTGTGAGTTTTTCTTTAACAAAAAAGTAGAAACAAATATGTCCCCGCCTGAAACATGTTACTTCACAACAATCGTGTGATCTATGTTGTTTCTTTGACAGATAAAATGGATGAAGAGTTGGAGAGAGCTAAGCGCTGGGAGGGCGGCTATGAGAGGACCTGGTAAGACCCGCTACACCCAACACTTGGACTCATATCTGCCGGCACTGTGTTCAACAATATAATGCTGCCCGTCCATACAGGGAGGTGCTGAAGGAGGATGAGTCGGGCTCACTTAAAGCCACAGTGGAAGAGATCCTGTACCAGTCCAAAAGGAAACGGTCAGTGGTCCTGCTGTGGTTCTGATCCAAACAGCTGTGTATTCTTCCAGATAACATGTAGACTCTGTTTGTGTCAAAGGGTGACAGAAAGCCATGGACAGGTCCGGCTGGGGATGGTGAGTATTACAGCATTCATGATTTAGGTTCAGATGTTGTCATCAGCTCACAACATTCACTGCTTCAAAACTGCTTTTAATGACCTCATGTAAATGTAAACAAAGATTTGTTTATTTATTGCCCAGCGCTGAAAAGTGGAAGAGGAGCGATAATGTGAACAAATATCTCAGGAATCAGTGAATGAATTTGAACAAAACTTGCAGAATTTTAAAAATAAATTAAAACTTTTTTTTTTTTTTTACAACTGAATCACTGTTAGAGTCAACACAAGTCAAGATGGCTGCCACAGCTAATCAGCATCACTAAAATGAGCTGATGGTGAAATGTGATGTGGCGGCTGAAGGTCAACACGTACTGTGACAGGACGTCTTTCAGTGTCTCTTGAAGTCACACCATCATTTATTTTACGGTTCCACCATGAAGCTCCTTTATTTCACCATTTTATCTGTAGAGTCCTTGAAAAGCAACATGGCCGACAAAGTGTTGCGCAACAAAACTAACAAAGAACACAGATGTACAATTTCAAGATTACAGACAGAAACCCATACAGTTGTGAAACCATCTTTAACTGCAGACACGATCACAGACAGCAGGAACATCAGGATGATGAGGAGGATGATTGTGTTGTGTTGTAGATGCGTCACCTGTACGTTGTGATCGACTGTTCTCGCAGCATGGAGGACCAGGACTTGAAACCTAACCGCCTCACCTCTACGCTGAAGGTAAACCCAAGAGCAGCCAGAACCTGATCTGACCCATGAAATGAGGTCATCTTAGTCTCCACTTCCTGTTTCTCTCTGCAGCTGATGGAGACTTTTGTTGATGAATATTTTGACCAGAATCCCATCAGTCAGGTAGGAACATCAGCTTTTACTTCCTGGTCTTTGTTGAACAGTGCGTATGATGTAGGGCCTCAGGTTCTGTTGGGTTCATATCGCTGAGAGTTTTCCTTCAGACAGAAATCAGATCTTGTGCTGGGTAACCTCAAACCTCTGGACTACAGTCTGACATGACTCCAGCCATCTATGGTGGCTATAATAAGCCTTGTGAAATGTCAGCTTTTTGTGATCTAAGTAAATATGGTATTTGTTTTCACCTTTGCTGTGACAAATATTCGGTACAAACGTTTAAAACTTAGATGTTTAATAATTTATTACATGTCGTCATCGTCATGGGGGGCGGGCAGTTCTGTTAGCGTAGCGGGGTGTCCTCCTTGGAGAATATTCCAGGAAATCAGGGGCGGACTGGGACAATAATCCAGGCCGGGAATTTTGATACCATCCCAGGCCACCACCACCTGATTAACGCAAACCACCAAGACTGAGTTCAATTGAGCGCACTTTGAATGCATGTTGTTTGCACACGTCTAACTGAATACCTACATAAATCTTTCTTCTGTGGTGCAATAATCCGTCCTCAAATCACATAAACTGAAATTATGTTGCCCTATATTTTGCTATGCATAAGCCTTTTAAAATCACTAGGAATATGACAGTCAATCATAGTTTCATACAACAAATGAGAGATCGTGTTGTACTACAGATGTGTTGTTTATTCTCCATCAAATCAAACACATTTTAAACATTAAACACATTTTTACTCACTTTTGTAAAAAAAAAAGATAAAAAACCTTATAAGAACCACCAAAGTTCATGCTCAATAATCCAGGTATAAACTCCAACAATGTTCATGCAGGTCATCTGGATGATTTCTTTTTTTTTTTTTGTGCAGAGATGTTTTGCCCTCCATCCAGAAGGCTTCATCAGTCTGAGGAAACACTAAACAAAACTGGTTAACTGTTATTTTTTCCACTTTGGAGTAGGCTTTTGGGGGAGAATCAGTTTTGTTTAGTGTTTCCTCAGACTGATGAAGCCTTCTGGATGGAGGGCAAAACATCTCAGCACACAAAAAAGAAACCGTCCAGATGACCTGAATGAACATTGTTGGACTTATAAGAACCAGTTTCCACCACTACTACTAGTACAGCAGCAGGCGGCGCAGGCCATCACTGCTCTCAGCTATTCTATCAATAATATCCTCTTTGTCCATTTGCTCCATTCTACAACTCAGAGATGCACACACCGCGCGCCAACATCGTCGGGAGCGCGAGTCCTAGGGCGGGGAGGGGGGCGGGCGCAATGTGTGTGTGTGTGTCTCTGCTCTGTGAGTGACACACAGAAAAGGAA